TGGGCCATCCTCCACTGCTTTCCCAGGCCACAGCAGAGAGCTGGACTGGACGTGGAGCAATCGGGACTTGAACTGGAGCCCATGTGGATGCCAGCACTGCAGGTGGCAGCTTTATCCGCTATGCCACAGCGGTGGCTCCCAGATTCTGTCTTCAAAGCCACCAAGGCCCAAAGAAATCACGTGCAGGCTGAATTCAACCCAGAGCATACGAGCTCACCAGCACTCATTAGTCTCAAGTTCCTCACTGTGTAGCAGGCAATGAAGACAGAATGCAGGTTTTGCTCAAGGTCACACACAAGCAACTGCTTAGTGAAAACCAGGAGAAGCCTGGCCTTGGGTTTCTTGCTCCAAGCTCAGCGCCCTGTCCTTTGCCGCATGCTGGCTCTGTAATATACAGAGGACCCCACCTAACTGCTGTCGATGGACACACTCACCTGTCACTCTAAATTAAACGCGGCCCTACTTCTTTCTGCAGGTTTCCTCTAACGACAAACTCTGAAAAGTGTCAGGGCATGGGTAAGGTGGTCCCCAGCCCAGGCAGAAGGCAGGCTGGGCTATTTTAATGAAACACCTGCCGGTCTTGACATTGGGCACTGCTCAGGTTTCCCCACCTCAGCCATGAACCCAAACAATAGTGCAGACAGCCAGTAAATCACATCCGGGCAGCACCAGCTGGCAAGGTCAGGGTTTCACCCTTGGAGCACCCCGAGAAACAAGTCTGTCCCACTTGGGAATCACTTCTGACCCCCTGGGGGCCTGTGCATGGCCTCTCCGTGGTCTGGAGGGAGCTGGCTTTGCGGGAAGGAGTGTGGCGTGGTGGCAAGGACATCTCTTGGAACAACACAGAGCCACCTCTAGCGCCCTCTCCACTGCTTCCTGCCTTCAGTGGGTCAGCAAACGCCCTGAGGCGCACCGGGCAGGGGCTCTGTTCCAGGTCCCAAGGAAACAATGGTGAGTATACACGTCCCTGCCATCACCAAGCAGGACAGGACACACGCGTGCTGATAAAATCCAGGAGGGGTGGAGACTGAGAGCTGCAATGGAGATGGGGCCTTCAGCGGAGGCGTCCGAGCGCAGCCTGCGGGAGCTGAGGGAGGGAACTGCAGGCCGTTCAGGGTGGTTCCAGAACAGCCAGGGGGCCTTGCTCTGGAGGGAGCGAGCCTGGCAGTGCAGGGCTGTGTGGCTGGGGGCGTGAGGGTGACGCCGAGGTCGTGGCCGGCAGTCTCTAGCTTAAGCAGCTGGAAGAATGGAGGAGCCCTTCCCTGGGACAGGAAGGCAGGCGAGGCTGGGAGCTCGTTCTGGGAACGCTCAGGGAAGATGATGGATGAAGACTGCGTGTGAGTCTGGAGCATGCAGGACGGGCGGAGGCTGCGGCTATAAATCTCGGTCACCCAGACAGCGTGTCCAGCTGTGAGCTGCAGTGATGTCACAGCGAGGGGTGGGAGACAGGAAGAGAGGCGGCTCAGGGCCCCACCCGGGACACCTGCTGCTGACCTTAACCCGGCTCCCCCCCACCAGACCTGCTCCATTTGGGACACAAAATCCAACCCCCTGCCTCAGTTCAGAGGAACTTTGACCCTGTGGCCCGGCCCCGGGTCTTAGTCCTCCAGGTTGCAGAATCCAAGGCTGACCAGAGGGAGTCACAGCAGCGGACATGCCATTCTTGCAGAGAGACCTCCTGTGCATCTTGACCGATGGACCGGGGAAATCATGGCAGGATCTAAGATGAGTGCCGGGAAAGCCTCCCGGGAAACAGGACCGCCCCTGGGCCCCGGCCCGTGGAGCCGGGTGGGCCCTGCCACTAGTAC